CCCCAAAACCCCAAAACCCCATAAAGAATGAATTTAATTTAATATTATGAAATTAAAGATTAAAAAATTAGAATAGTATTTCCAATCATAATTGATTTTTATGCTGATGCTTTCTTATTTCTCTCTCTATCTCCGATATCTAGTCTTTAAAAACCTTTTACTTGAGTTTAATGTTCTTTCCACCTATAATAAAGCTCTTTACAGGAAAAATAGTATGCTTACTAGTATCGAATGTTAAAACATTTGAGTGGCAATATTCTTTAGAATTCTGCCCTCCAAAAATTACTAACTTAAAGCTATTAATACCACTTGATATCTGAACCATTCCATGACTAAACCTTCCTTCAGGATAGCATCCATGCGAGGCCACTGCCACCCAGGAATTATTGGCTAAAGTAATTAAAAAATAAATTAATTAATACCAATATCGTAGAGGTAGAGATCATTTAAGGCAATATTACTATACTCTTTGAATAAAGTATCGTTTCTACCACCAAATATAGCTAGATATCTCTTTGCAAAAAAGGTTTAAGCATGCAAGCATCTACCTATCGGAGGTTTTCCTTAAGGTGATAATTTGATTACTTCTAATGTTAATTCAGGCATCTTCTTATCTGACTTGTAATCGAAATCTTTACTGTATTTTTTATGATAGAATAGGCCCTTAATGTTTTCTTAGAAATCAGGCTTGATAAAATAAAGCTCATTCGAAAACACTAATTCTGTGTTGCACACCTTTTTTTTATTTTTTTCATCTTTTCGATCTGTAAGTGGGGCTAAACTTTCAATTGATAGGCACAAATCTTATTTAACAACTAGTCCACCGAACATGTAAATTCCCATTTTATTGCTCTCAATAATTTTCTGATCTTAGTCGTTTTAATCAGGTGTTGGATTTTGGTTTTTAACTTAGAATTGCTAAGCCCACAATGCTCTTGAATATTTCAGTTAATTATCAATACCATCTGGATGCACAACTGTCATTGCATGCATATATCTAGCTAGTGGTTTTCTACTGTTTGTAGAAATATTTGTCTTTACCCAAGTTTGTCTCTCTGTAAATTATTTATATTTATATTATCTTACTTAAATCATAAATTCCAAAGTCATCTAAGATGTCTTTATCCTCACCTGATATACCTCCATGTATAACAAGCATGCATCCAAACACTTCACCCGCATGATGCATTCTTGTTTTTGGTGCAATTAATAATTCTCCATCATAGTCCTTAGGAAGGAAATCATCTGATGTCCATTTTTAATTCTCTAAAATATTAATAGTAATGGTCTTACCAATATCAAACATGAAAACATCATTGTATGTAAGTCTCATTTTAGCTTAGCTGTTATATGCTCCTCCACCACCAAACACAACCAACTATCTCTAAAATAGATTGAGAGTATTTCCAAATCTCCTCTATGGAAACCCTAAACCTTCCTCACCTTCATTTTCAAATAACTTTCCAAAGAATTTAGTGTCCATATCTTCCAAGCATCTAGTGTCATTAAATGGCTCTCTTGCAGATCCTCCAAACATGTAAACATTGTCTCTTTCACTTACCATCCTCGAAGATTCTCTACTTTAAGGAATTTAAGCTGATATCTCTTGGAATTCCCAAAAACCAGACACTAGTTATTTTTTCTGTAATTGTTCAATTAGTTTCTCATAGTTTTCATATTAATATTTGGAGGAGTAATCTAGATTGAATTTCTACTAAAGAAGCTAATTAAGGCTTTCTCGCATTTTATTGACTTTTTTGAATTCTTGCATTTCTAGGTAAACTAGGTACTTACAACTATTTATCTTAGGATCAACAGGCCCTGTAAATAAAGGATAAATGCATCGTTAAATGGTTTCGACATCTTAGTGTAACATTTTCAAATTTTTACCCTTGATTGAGTAAGTTTGCTTGGAAAAAGGCATCTAAAATTGTTTAAAACAATTTAGTAGTTGTTTAGCTTCTGTAGCCTTATGAACCTTTATCTGGTTATCATCTTCTGCATTATAATTAAAAACCAACTGGTAGGCGAAAGGATCTTGAACTGAAACAAAGTTACTGATATCAAGATTGGTTTATTGATTTGAAAATTAGGAAAAATCATTCAATCTTGCTGTATTTGGTACCTTTTTGAATTGCATTTCATCCTTTCCTACTTTTATATCTGCTTCGTAATGAAAATTAAAGGTCTGTTTATTCTCTTCCTCGTCATATTCCTAAATATCGTCCAAATCTATTTTATTTATGTTAATTAATGGAACTATTGGTCTTAGACCTCTTGCTGATTACGAGCCATTCAAACTCTCAGATCTAGGCTTTTTAGTTTATTGCTCTAGCGTTTCAGAATTTTAAAATAATTACCTAATTTTGTCTTTTTTTTAGTCTAGCAATCTCTGTATGTGCTCTGATATATTCTTGGAACTTTTAATGTTAGCATCAACTTTTTGATTGAGAGACAAGTTTAGATATCTAATTTCCATTGGATTAATCATATTTTGTAACAGTTTTTAGTGCTTTAGTTTTAATTGTTGCTATTTGGCAAAAAGATCTTCTTATTTATCAAACCTAAGATTTGAAGTGTCATGATTCTCTAGAATATTATCGTCTTCATTAGGATTTTAAGATGAATTTCTTAACTTAAATTACTTCTTTTTGCTAAATATTTAGGAGACTAGCGACTGACTCTAAGATCGATTGAGTTGGTTTGGCTTTATATGTTATAGACTCTATTTCTTCTTTAGGTCTTTTACTTACTAATCTTCTTTCTCTTTGAAGTTTTTTACTAATGATATAAGTTGAGTGTAATCCCTTTCAAGCAAAGCTGTTGAGCATTATAGATTCATTTTTAAGTCTTTATTAGGAATCTAAGTTTTCTTATTAAGTTTGTCTTAAAACATTCTCATTTGCTATAGAAATGGGCTACTTTAAATTTTACTAAGCTTTGAATTGTCTAAAGCATCAATTCTAGAAATTGATATATCATCAGGTGTAATTCCGTTTATATTCTGATTAGGTAATTACTAGGATTGAGACCCATTAATATCTGGAAACATTTTTATTAATTTATTAAACAATTGCAGCAGCAATCTCTTTCTAATTTTAGAGTTTATCACTAGGGGGTTTTGGGGTTTTGGGG